TTATTGCTAGAGTCTCCAAATTTTTAATGTATGCTTATATGCAATTTATACAATTTCGGTTTTTGTTAAAATTTACCCCCCACCCTTAAATTCACCCCCTCACCCTCACTTTTGTAAAAAGCGTATTTCAAATACTAGAGACTTGGGCTTTGGAATATACACACATATTCACCATATGATTACGCTCTAAAAGTTTCATTAAGATCGTATGTCTACAAAAGAAATTATTTAACAAATAAATTCTCATAATATTGCCCACACTGCAGCGCAGCCCAAGCGCAGTCGCTGCTTACTGCGCAGTTAGCAGAGCGCAGGCTTATGCGTGCGTGTGGATGCATGTGTATGTATGTGTGCATAAAAGAAGTGCAGAATGATTAGAATATCAGCTTGGAGGGTTCAGGGTATCTCCTAGTCGAGCAGTCTCGACTGGAGCTTTCTTACTTGTTTGATATGCGATATGTACGTGATATACACAAACCTACTAAAAAATCAGTCCTCTAGCTCTCATATCTTCTGAGATCAATGCGTTCATACATACAAATCAACGGACAGTGCTAAATCGGGATCTGCCACGCCTCTTTCTGCCTGGTACATACATTTAACAAACCCGTTATACCCTGATTTCCCATTTTTTATGGGTTCAAGGTATAAAAAATGAAATTCACGTTAAACACACCCCCGGACCAATATAAATGGAAAGGTATTTAATCTATTGCGGGCAAAAGATAACACTTTCCCACCTTCTTGCTAGATCTACATCAATAATTAATAGCACTTCTGATAGGCTTCTGTATGTGGCGCATTGGTGAAAGGGCATGCTATTTTTGGATCAGGCTATTCTTGAAGTGTTGGGAAAAACACCCTGACGTTACTCGAGAAGCGCTTATCAGAGGCGATTGGCTGTGTACAGGGTGTCCACGAGGCAAGTGGCACTTAAATAACGCTTTGATATCTATCGACCATTGATCATTAATTGACGAATACTACTCGCTTAATCATGATTTATGATTGTTTGTCGCTTTGTAGAGGCAGCAGAAATCTTGCATCATGATCGAATTACCGCAATCTAATCGTCTATCAGAATGTACACGAGTGCATATGGCCAATCAATTTAGATTCTCAATTTGATTTACGATACGATCATAAACAGTTTGCACTGACTTATGAATGGAGAACCAGAGAAATATATTTCAAAATATGCCCCACTTGCGAAAGGCCGAACAGGAAGGTAGGTGAATAATGGATATGTATGGACCATACAATTTGTATACTTATATGGGGAATAAAGTTTGAATATTTCGTTTACATCCTCTTGACAATATAATGCCCCAGTTTCAACTGTCCTAGTTTCACACATTTATTAGAAAACTACGGATATTCAATTAAAATAATTATATATTTACGAAAATCATGTTAAATGTATTTATCCTCATATCACGTATAGCCATATATATATATATATATATATATA